TTGGCACAAGCAGCCATCCATCCACAACAGGAAAAAAAAGTTTAATAAGGGTAGATTCTCTGCCAAGAACCTTAAGTTAAGGGCAGGAAGATATTTGTACTGCTAGCCTCAAAGTACTGTGTAAAACAGTCCTGACACTAAAGTTAACTTCATAATATGGTATCCTGGTGGCAATAGGCTTGGTGATTTGTGCTAGACATAAATGACATGCCACTTCCAGGGCTATATTTTTAGTAGGAGTGAAGTTATGAACTCTGCTTTGAATTGCAATGTATTTGACTGGTGTGGTGACTGGGGATGTTCTGAAACTGAGTCACGTTCAGTGGTGATGAAAACAACAATCATCCCATTTTCCCTCTAAAGAATTATTCTGTAATGTTCGAGGATGGTTGGAAAACAAATCTCACTTTGCCATTAGGAAAAAAAACACCTACTGGTAAAAAGATTCAATAATAATAATGAAATGGGTCTGAGAGATGGCACAAGAGGAGATGGCGCCATCCTTTACAATCCTTTAGTTACTTTATAAAAAATGAAATCTGACCGACTCAAGTTGCCAGTCTCTGGCTGGCTCCAGAGCTAGAGTGTTTGCAGCTAATAAATGCTTTTCTCTCTTGTAGGGGGTCAGTAAGCTACTGCCGAGGGTACTGGAAAGAGGAAAATATTTTCGTTCTCCCATAGCAGCATAACTAAAACATCAAAGGGGTGGCTGATATTTTTCATATGTGCATTTTCCCACTTTAGAACTCAGAATGCAAGAAATGGTGTCAATGGGAATAGGCAATAAACCTTTCATGGACATCAAGCCCAGTGAAGCAGCCATAAGCGACCGAGCAATAGATTACATCATGAAGGGAACAGGTACTGTCTACTACTCACATTACATTGCTGTTCTGCCTTCCCATTTGCCAGTCTGTTAGGATGATTGTCTTCATTAATTGTTTCACGCTCTTAAAAAAAAAAAAATTGATTGCAACTTATTTCCGCAAAGAATTGATCTTACTTTTGTCTTGGTGTAATAGATTTAGTATCTTATTTCCTTTGTTAAGCTCATAGAACTTCAGCAATACAGACCGCAAAGTGTATTCAGTCTCTCCTGTCAGAAAATCTGGAGAGCAACTGTGGGCTGAACAAATGGACTTTCCTAAACTCAGTTCAATAACATTTTAATTCAAGTAGTAGAAGATTATTGAGCTAGCCTGTTACACTTTACCAATCCTGTTTTATTTCTTGTTCAAAATAGCATTTTCCCTTATTCACCTTGTTTCCTTCCAATGATCAAAGGTTCTTGTTTGCTTGTAGAATCAAGATCTCGAGCATCAATAGCAGTGTCTTCATTTGACCACTCCACTCCATTTAAAAGGCCGCATTCCACTATCTCAAACAGTAGCACATCTTCCTCAAGCAGCCAGTCCTCTTCTTCCATTTTGGGATCACTGAACCTTCATGTGTATTCCAGCCCACCTCATCCAGGCTTATTAGGACCACCCTTCTACCACTGGTCGTATGATATTAGAACCTGCATAGAGGAAGATGAACTGGAGCAGGAAACTGGCAGTCAGCCTTCAATGAGTGAGTGAATTTCAGCATCTGGATTAGAAGGGATTTGTAAGGATTTTGGACATGGCAGGTTGTTCTGGTTCTGATGTGTATCTCGATGGATCGACACACCCGGATGTGTAGAGGTACAATTCGTTAGAGCTTTGTGATTTATGTCTTAAGCTGTACTTTTAGTTCCTCAAATTTATCACATTTCTAGTTCTAGGTAGCAACAACCATGACCGCTCTTGCTGCTCTCTGGAGCCATCACTGTCACCTAGGGTAGGATGTACAAGTAGTGCCTCTGCAAGTGGTTATCTTAAACTTTTTATTTTCAGGACTCTTTAAATACATGAACCAAATAAGGGAAACCATAGTGACACTGACTCCCACATCACTGCACAGGCACTGCATTACTCCTTAGGCCCAGCTCCTTAGGGCTAGGCGATCTTAGCCTTCTTCCAAGCTTTTTGTGTGTGTCTGTGTGTGTGTGTGCGCTCCCCCTCAGTCCAATGCCCACACCAATGGAGAAGGCTATTAGGATGGTGGCTTTTATCAAGAAGGGTATATACATCTAAGGAGATTGTCTGTCACTTTATAAAGAACTGGTTCGGCCACACTCAGAGTATAGTGTTCAGTTTGGATCAGCAGAGTCCGAAAATATTAGACACTGGAAGATCTATTGTCTTTAAATGTGTAAAGACTGTTAGACTACAGGCCTAGCCAGAGTCTAACTTTGCACACTTTCTTCCTGTTTATAGTCACAGAGAGTTCAGAATCATCCCAGTGCACTTCGGGTGAAAGTGTGAGTGGTTTTAGTAGCTCTGCCCATCCTGGATTGTCCCAGCTCTCTACAGAGACGTTCTTGGATGAAGGTGCTTCAAATCCTGGCTCTAAACCTCCTTCCCAGTGCACATCTCCTGCTCTCCCTGAGAAGAATCCTAGATCAAAACACACCAACCAGTATGTCACAGCGGTAAGTATTTCACCTTTTAGCTCACAAGTCATACAAAAAGCCTTCATTGATTTCACTTATTATGATTACCAATCATTTTACCAACATGGCAATACTGAACTAAGCTGTTTTCCAAGACCCTGATTGTCGGGTCTTGATCTGAGCATACTTCACATTGAACTCAGTAAGACTCTTAGAGCCAAATTCTGCTATCATGCAACCTATTGACTTCCTTTGGGTTGCATCATTGCACAGTGCCTCATAGTTGCAATGGTGATTCCAGTGGGCTTGTATGGGTGTGAATCAGAGCAGGGTTTGGCCCTTAGTGTTGTAGGTTTAAATATAGACATTTTTGATACAGTTTTATAGCTGATGGATTTTAGAATCTCTATTTTAGAAACAACTTATGTTCACAGGGGAAATCCATGCTTGTCCTTTTAACCCCTTGGAACAGTAAAAAGAGCTGGTAGTCTGAGTCTGTTCCCTGTCAGGCAAAGGCCCACATCACAGAGCTAACACCACAGTTGGCCATGATTGCACCCTCTTGGTGGCAGTTCCATCAGAGAGGTCAAGGACTGAATAGACCTGGAGGCTGTACTACCCTTTCATCCGGAGAGGGGGTGATCCCTGCAGGGCAATGCGCTACCAGTGTCTTTGGATAAACAAAGAACTTCACACTCCAGGGCTGTCAACCCAGCACCTTTCACCAGCAACTCTATTCACTTAAAAACCCTTTCTGGTCCAAATGCTGCTTTCAATTACAATTCTACTCTGAGTTCAGCAGAATGACTGTGACACACACTGGTGAAACTGAGAACAGAATTTGGCCCATATACACTAACTGCTCTGAACTGCCCATGCAGGAGAAGGTCAACATTTCTATTATTTTTTATGTAGGTAGAATGTATTTGTATTGGCCATACTCTGCTAGCATTAGTCATGTTGTACCTTATTCTGTGAATAGTCATATTGATTTAATGGGGCTTCTTGGGGAGTAAGTCCCTACTCAGTGTAAATGTGGCAGAATCTGGCTTTATGGATTTGGAGAGAGCACTTAAAATTAGATGACACAAACAAATTAAGTGCCACTTGCACAGTAATGCTAGAGTAATAGAAGCTGCATCTTGACAGTGGTGGCTAAAAGCAACAGTTAATAAACAGCGCTGGGATTGGCAGCTGTTGGCCTCCTGCTGTGAAAAGTCTCTTCAGTAGCCCTAACAAAAGAATTTCAAGCTGCAGGAGTATAACCAAGTCTAAATCCCAAAAAAGAGGCACCCCCCAAAAGCCCTGAGAATGAAACCCCAGTCTCTCTTGAACACCTTGCTTTGACTGCAACTCCAGACATAGCCTGGCACCATAAAGAAAGCAGGGCTACAATGCACTTCTCGCTTCTCACTCACACACTGAGTCTGAGTGACAACGATTATATGCAGTCTCTGCACTCCTCCCAGAAACTGTAACACCATGAAGTCTGGAGCCAGCACCCATCTGAGAGTTGCAGGTGCCCTTCAAGTTAACCTCTGTAGACAAATAAAGTACAGAGCTTCCTACTGGTCAGCACTGCTGATAATGTATTTGTTACAACAGAGGACAAAGGCTAGAGGATGCAACCCAACAGGATGTGCAGTCAGCAGAGTATCTCCGAGGTCCTATATGTCACTTGGTTACATGTCGACTTGAACAAAATTAGAGTTAGAACACAATGAATACTGGTAATTAATGTTGCCACAAGCAACGGTGATTTTAAGGGAGAGGTTCACAAAGTATGTAACTTGTAAAGCTGAAGCAATTAGGAAATAAAGTGCAGGGTGCTACTAAGGTTAGAATTAGTCAGAGCAATCACCTTTTTAAGGCTCGTGTCCCTTGTGCTTGAATGCTACAACAGTGTACTGTGTGATTTTTATTTCATCTATAATGAAAATCCCTGTTTACTCACGGACATTAATGACAACATGATCCCTTCGGGCTGGTCCTGTATACAAATATCCATGCTGTGTTTCCAGGGGACCCTCTAGATTTCATTGGGGATAAATCAAATATATGATGTGTTAAGGATTTGATTAGCACAGGTGCAAATACATAGCTACTTTGCTTGTGCAAAGTTGGATTGGATGCTGGTGTGCAAATTGGGATTTGTGTGTGTACATGGTTGGATGGTAATCTGTCTAGCCTGCAAGTACATAAATTGGAGTTTATGAATATCTAACCATAGTGCACACAAAATAACACATTTGTGTGTGCACAAATGCACAACTAGCTAAGGTCTGAAAAATTGGCCCTAAACCACCTAAGGAAATGAACAAACTAAAACAAACTCATACTGATTCCAAGTATTATATTGTTCTATACGGAAACAGGAAGTCACAGAATATAGGCCAAATTCTCCTACCAACGGAACACCCTGCCAAAATGTAGACAGTATAACACAGCTGTTTTCTGGCTGGTAAGCAGTGCAATCCATGAGTTTATGGATCCCCTGGATGTGGCAAACCACAGACTGCTCTTTCACCTACCTAGAGCTGAAGGGAGCTAGAGCTTCCCTGATCCAGGATTAAATCAAGGCCTCCTCACCAATATGGATCAGAATGGGGGCCCTATCTATCTTCCCTTGACTCCAGACACCAGCCGAGGCATGCATCAAACTTCTCCTTGCCAAACCAGCCAGGGAGAAGTGAATCAAGAACACGGTGCTGACTTATTCCAGCTGTAGATGGAATACATTAAGCACAAAGCGTCCGTGGTTCTGCTGCATTTTGGAGGCAGTGTAGATGAGCTTGTCTGTAAGTTCAATATTCAGCATACATTTCTCTAACCCGCCTCCATTTTTTGGCTTACACCTCACTCCAGGTGCACGGCATTTGTATTGTCCTTCCTGCCACAGTTAAATAGAGAACATCTCCAACAGTCCACAGCTCAGGAGTTGGGCTCCTTTTAGGCACACATTGCACTCCTTTTTTTAACATGAGCATGGGTGAACGTAAGTGCTGATCCAGCAAAGCACTTAAGCTTGTGAATAATCCCACTGATGTGAAAGGCACTACTTACATGTTTAAATTTAAGCATATGCTTAAGTGCTTTGGTGGGCTGGGGATTTACTGAAGAATCTGGAACACTGGGCTCTAAATTGTTAATGAAACCCCTTTGAGCTTTCACCGCCTTATTTCTTACTGTTAACCCTGCATATTGATTAATCTACGGGAGGATGAAAGTGTAAAACATGTCTTCTGTGGCCTCTGTGGTGACACTCTGACCTCTGCATTGCTGTGTGAGACTCCTGTTGGTTCCCTTGCTCCCCAGGCTGAGAGCACTGCAGGCACAGCTTGCTCACTCCAGGTGCTGGAAGGAAAAGCTTTGTGTCACTCATAGCAACCCTTTTGGCTCTCTAAGGAGAAGCATAGACTGGTTCTGAGGACACCCATTCTCTTTAGCCACCGTGATGGTGGCTGCAGCACAAACTTTTATAGACTCATAGACTTTAAGGTCAAAAGGGACCATTATGATCGTCTATTCTGACCTCCTGCACAACACAGGCCACAGAATCTCACCCACCCACTCCTGTATCAAACCCCTAACCTATGTCTGAGTTATTGAAGTCCTCAAATTGTGGTTTAAAGACCTCAAGGTGCAGAGGCATACAATTGAGGAAATGGGCTCTGATAGGGATGTGCAACAGATAAAACCATCATGGAGGAGAACTGTGGATTTTATGGTTTGCATAAAAAAGTAATTTGGATGCCTGTTTAGAGACTACATAGAAAAGTAACTACTCTGAAAATAGCTGGGTCCTGATCCTGAGTTTATCAGAGAGAGAAAATTCCCATTGGTTTGAGGATTACGAGTGTCAGATTAGGCCTATGGATTTCAAATATGCAGTGTAGGTGTAGCCGTCTCAGTCCCAGGACGTTAGAGAGACATGGTGGGTAGGGTAGCCAGGTGCCCAGTTTTTGACTAGAAAGTCCAGTCAAAAAGGGCGCCTGACAGTGTCTGGTCACTGCGGGCAGAGGAGACGGGGAGGTGCTGGGTCATCACCCGTGCTAGCCCTACTCAGCCAGGTGTTGGGCGGCTGCAGCTCCACAGGTGATTCCCTCCTGACCCGGGCAGGGGGTGCGAAGGGAAAAGCAACGAGTGATGGGGGAGGAGGAGGGAAAAGGAGTGGAGTGGGCAGAGTCTTGGGGGAAGAGGTGGAACAGGGCCTATGGGGAAGAGACGGGGCAGGGGCAGGGCTTTGGGGGGGAAGAAGTGGGGCAGGGCTGGGGCCTCAGGGGGAAGAGGCAGGGCAGGGGAGGTTCCGGCACTCCTGCTGGAGTGTCCATTACCAAGTTGGCAACCCTAATGGTGGGTGAGGTAATATTTTTTTACTGAACCAACTTCTTTTGGTGAGAGAGACAAGCTTTTGAGCCACACAGAGCTCTATGGATTTCAAGAGCAATTTAAGGGACATATCAACAAATAACTTTAAGATATCATTTTCTTATAAACCAAAATGTAAAAATGTGCTAAATGTGTTTTGGGGACATTATTATGAACGATTTCCTGCTGCATGTATAAAATCAGGAAGATGATTAATAAAGATGATGGTGCATCTTATATTTTTATTGTATGAAGCAAAACATATTGATGATGTCCAATATTTTCATCTTCAGTTTCTTATGATTAAGCAGAGGTAGTGTTTAGAAATGTTTAAGGACACATTTTTGAACTATCCCTAGAACCAGGAGAATGTTATATGATGTGCCATTGTGAAGAAAATGTTCTGATGATCGCGTTGTTATGTTAGTATGATCCAGGTTATTCCTAGCAAACTGTAATGTTGGTTTTAATTAGATTTCCCTCCCTTTTCCGTCAGAACAAAACCTCTCATGTATTAGGCCTCTCAACAATGGTTTGACTGACAGGCATAAATTCAGTAAGTAACTAGTTTTCTCAGCTCAATCCTTATACTAAAATGATCAAGCTAATAAAAAAGACTCCAGGCTGCCACGTTAATTATAAGATAATAACCAATTAAATTGGGGCATGAGAGAATGTCTAAAAACTGATCTGCATGTTCTAACAATATTAGAAAAGTTATTGAATCCTATTTGTGTCACCTCTTATTAACAATCTTCTCTAGAGAGTGCTCTGGTGTAAAAGTACTATACTTTCTCCCTGTAATTCACTCTCTTCCTTCACTGAATGTTTGCCCTTTCTCATATCAGCATCTCTGGCTCACAGAAATTTGCTTTGTGGGTTGTACACATTCTGCTATAACAATGGTATGAAATGACATAATGGGGTCTACATTCTACTATTTGCATAGTGCCTGACATAGAGCAGCACTGTCTATTTTTGCTTATCCGTTTGGTATGTGTCTATTATGTATGTACATATACATGTCTTCTTAACTGTTTAATTTTAAACAATGGTGTTTATGCCAACAAAGAGGTACGGTGCTGATGGAGATGATGCATTTCTAGCATGCGCTTACTGAAGTAGTAAAGACAGAATCCAGCACGGAATGCCTGGATTCAAAGCCTGGTAGGCTGAAGGTGCTGGCTGCATACAGCAGGCTGAGCTTGTCTCTAGGAGGTTAGCCTGTCGTGGTAGGTAGCAGCCAGAGGTAGGAAAGTCCATGCAGATAAACTCCCTGCCTCTCCTGCTCAACAGCTCCTGATTCCCAAGCCCATCTGCAGCCCTTCAGGGTATGTCTACACTGCAATTAAACATCCGGGGCTGGCCTGTGCCAGCTGACTCAGGCTCCCAGGGCTTGGCCTAAGGGGCTGTTTAATTGTGGTGTAGACTTTAGGGCTTGGGCTACAGCCCAAGCTCTGGGATCCTCCCACCTCGCAGGGTCCTAGAGTCCAGGGTCCAGCCTGAGTCCAAACGTCTACACCTCAATTCAACAGACTTAGCCTGAGCCCTGGGACCCTGAATCAGCTGGCACAGGCCAGCCACAGGTGTTTAATTGTAGTGTAGACAGACCCTCTGTCATCCCCTGCTACCTCCTGGCTCACAAACACACACACAAGGACTGCCTAGTCTTTGGGGGGAGTTACAGCACTAGAATTGACTAACCTGTTTGTGTGGCCAAAGATGCCAGAGGCAGACTGTTCCCGGCTCTGCTTCTATAGGTCAGGCTACCATATATACTGTTTGTATTTGTACAAAAATATGGGAGTGTTTGGAGGGAAAACACTCAGTCTCCCTTGTGTAGCTAGAGAAATGCCCTGTATTATTCATTTCATGTTAAAGTAATGTAAAGTCAATAAATAACGACGAAATAACTGGGAAGAAAAGAGGAAAAACGCATTCACAAAAGCAAAACAGAAAACAAAACAAAAAACCCTGAAATTTCAAAGTTGTTTCTGTTTCGCAGAGTTTGAAATGGAACCATTTTCCATGGTGTTTTTCGTGAGTTTTTAATCAAAATATCAATTTTTATTAAAGTAAGCTAAATTTTTCAATTCCTGAGAATCACATTTTCTTACTGGAAACAGAGTTTTCAGTAAGCTAGTCATTTCAATAATGATTTCTAAAATGATTTTGATAAACATTTCAATAACATTGCAAATAATATATGGATTAAAAATGCCAGGAAATATTTTTTCAAAAAGCAAAAAACTTTGGTAATGCCAGTAAGTTCTCACAAAAAAGTTTAGTTTCCTAAAATAGGCCATTTTTCACAAAAAAAATCTTTTTTTGAGAAAAATTTTGACCAACTCTACAAATAACATTTATAAAATTCCCAAATACAATTTAAGAATGGAAGAGACCGCATGTTGTCAGAAACCAAAGATTTATCACACCATCAGTTCTTAAAATGAATTCTCAGTGAAGTCAAAGGGGAATCTTTGCCTAAAAATTGGTACAATATGCCCCAAGATACATACCCTACTAATGTGTTAGATAAGGAACCAGAACACAAAGAGAACTGCCTCTGCACACAGTCATCACAACAGAGATGTGCAAAGGTAAGTTTTAGGCCAGTTTTCCACATATTCTCTACCCTGCTTTCTGTACAGATTGGCTAAACCCCAGCAACTACCCAATAGTGGGTTTTTAGGGAGAGGGATTTTTTTCTTTGTCTAATGAATTAGTCCTTCATTTTACTCTTTTTATTTCTCATACAGCTGATCAGATTTGTGAAAGAATTGTGGGTTTTATGATAAAAGCATGACATTTCCCAGAGTCTTAGGGCATGACCTATAAAGATTTTCTAATATGGGGCCATCACCAACTCATACCAGGCTGGCCGTGGCAGCCATTTTAAATTCTGAATGCATTTTTTCTAATGTTTTTCAGATACTGATTGTTTATAGTATTAAACCATCCCACTGTGTTTTTTTGTATTTTATTTTGTATTTTTATATTCCTATTGTCCTAGGTGTCCTAAAAACTAAAGCAATGAAATGTGATGGCTTGAGATTATACAAAAATATTTAGAATTAACATGCTTTGTAGTGTGTCATCAAGGAGTATTTACAGAAATATTAATTACATAGAAATATAACAATAAGTTTACAAGTTTCTGTTCATGAACAGGTAGTTACATTTCTCTTTGCTAATAACGATATTTCAGATCGGTCCATGCTTAACAGGATATTTCTGTGTCTCAAAAAGATTGAAAAGGCAGCTTACATAAACATGCAGCCTAAAATTAATTAAGAAACGAGGAAGTCTTTCAGTCTTCAATATATTGAAACATTGCATTCCCCACCATTTTTCAAGAAGAAGAGCTGCAATTTGGTCCTGGAGATCTCCCTTGCAGGAAGTCTGCTGAACAAGGGGAGTTTATTTTGCTTGATAGGCTCTGTTAATGACTTGGTTTTGTCTTGCAATCTCTCTGTTTTAAATGAGATTAACTGCTGCTGCCTGATTGTCTCTGCTAGGAGCTTGAGAAGATCACAGCAGGGTCTGCAATGTCTTCAGTGTCCAGTTTAATTAAGTCTACACTCTCCTCTGAGAAGAGGTTGCTCATGTCTTCTATGACCTCAACAAGTGCCTTGACATGTTGTGTAAACGAAGCCTGGGCACTATCATCTGCTCATGGTGCTTTGTGTTAGACCCTTTTCAGGTGGTTCCTTTCTCTACTGTGGCTTCAAATTCTCCTATCACCCTGGCTACCTCTGGTCCCGCTATCATCCACCGCTGAAGGGCCTCTGGACTTTGTGTTAGACCAACAGCTCCACTATGCCCTTTGATTATGGCATTATTTTGCTCATGAGCTTGGTCAAGTGCAATTACAGAGAAAACATGCTGGGTCTTGCAAACTGTGGCTTTCCTGTTTAGGAACTCTTTAGCTGTGTCCGGATACACTGTGTGAAAGCTTACCATATCCTGTGGATGAACAGGCACCTATTGAGCATAATTAGTATGATCTAATGCAAAGAACCAGAGTGATAGCTTTCCAAGGCATTCAGTGTATAAAGCAAGGTTTGACAGATTGACAGCACATAGGTCAAGACAAGAAGCTCCAGATTAAGGGTACGTCTTCACTACCCGCCGTATCGGCGGGTAGCAATTGATTTATCCGGGATCAATATATCGTGTCTCGTTAAGACGCGATATATCGATCCCCGAACGTGCTCACCGTCGACTCCGGAACTCCACCAGAGCGAGCGGTGGTAGCGCAGTCGACGGGGGAGCCGCGGCGATCGATCCCGCGCCGTCTGGACCCCAGGTAATTCGATCCAAGATACTTCGACTTCAGTGTAGCTGAAGTTGTGTATCTTGGATCGATCCCCCCCCTAGCGTTGACCAGCCCTAAGTGTGGTATGTCAAAAGTGGAATGTTGGGTTTTCTAGTTTCCACTTGCCACACCATTTATATTACTCCATGTGGCCTCATCTTCCCTGAGACCTTGGGTATACTGTGTGTATGCATTATACAGCAAGATGTACTGACCACTGGTGGGCCGCCTAGCACGAGACACTTTCAGGAAGGAGTCAGCTGTTCCTGGGGAAGCCACTTTGGCCTGAACAAGGGCTTCTGTCCATCCACTGTCTTCTAGCCAATCTCAATCAGCTTTAGACTTGCCATTTCCAGATGAAGACCACTCAACATAACAACAAATTTGTCCTCTCCATTCCCAGCAGGCCAGGTCAACTCTATCAGTTTGATTATGCTGAAAAGGAGTTGATCCACAGTGATCACTGGCACATGTATTTAGGCGGTGCACAGCATTCCTTATCACATCCATGGCCTGACAAATCATTGCACAGACTTGGAGTCATCTGGAAAGAGGGGAAGAAGCGCAGTGATGGCTGGGGCGAAGTCTGGGATGGTAAGCTGCCCAGAAAGTGTCTTGATCTCCATTGAAGGTATCCAGACTTGCTGCTTGCCTTACTTGTTCAAGCCACCTGCATTCTTCTTGCAGGGCTTGCGTAATCAGTTGGCAGTCCGTTTTCATTTCAACATTTGCATCAGGGATGGCAGCATTGGTTTTCTTCAAAATCATTGGAGGGACAATTCTATAAGACTCAGGAAGTGATGATATAGACTTCTTCACTGATGCTGCAGTCTCACAGTCCAGGGCAGGAATTCTGTGGACAACTCCCTCCACTTGAGGATACTGAAAATGTGATGTCCCAGTTCTCTGGGAGGAGTCTGTTGCTGTGGTGGAGCTAGGATTGTGGTCTATGTTGTCTATGGCCGCAACAGTGAACAGACTACCATGGAGCTTGAGCGGACCGACTACATTCTTGTTCTTGGAGTGTTGGCACGCATTGTTTGCCATGCTAGTAGAGAGGCCAACACTCTGTCATAGAAGATAGTGGACTATCCAAGTTTAAAAGAAGTATCTACTAGCTCACTTTTTCATGTCAGTGCATGAAGTATCAAACTGGTGTAGACTGGAAAAGGCATTTCTCGAGCTTTGTTGTGGTACAAACTTTCTGTTCCTTCACGGCAATGGATATTATTGTTGTACTGCAACAGCTGTGCCAAAATAAAGGTAGCTGGATGAATGGAAACTTGTTCTGAGTTTTAATGTTTGAACCACACAATATCATGGACATCAGTGCCAGTAGTGACTCCAGCACAGATTTTGCCTGGCATCCTGGGTCAAATGATGCAAGTAGACTGTGTTTTTGTTTAAAACAGCTCCCTTTGAATATTTTTTTCTGTTTGGGACAGGTGAAATGCTGCTTCATCAGTTTTCCTCACATGCACTGCAGAGGACAAGTTTAATGCCCTGGTTGAAGGCAAGGAGCACATCACATCCTTCTTTGTGTGCTTGGAGAGCTGGAATGTGTGAAAGGATATGGGATTTTATTTCACTGTGTTGTGAATGCGCGCAGGCAGCTGTTCTAGTCTAGCTGTATAGAGCATCGTGAGGACAGCTAGTTTAAACCCTGCACCCATGTCTTCATTCAGTCTTGTCTCTTGTTATCTATGTTATCAGTTCAGAAGAGGCAGTCAGTCCCATGTGATATCTTCTCTGTGTTGCTTTGCTCAGATTTCTTCCCCCTTACTTTGTTGTAGAGAGACACCAAACATCTTGCATGATACCTTGTCCCTTGGGCCACTAAGTTCCCTGCACTTAGGTTTGCAAGCAAGCACTGGTCTTGCAGCTAAAGTGCACAGTTGTGGACTCAACTATCAATGCTGAGAGTAGAAGCTTCATGGAGGTCTTCTGATGGTATGTTCATTTCACAAATAAAGCACCCTTCTTTTTCTGGAGGTCCTTTGTTTTGGTCACCTAAACATGTGTATTTCCTCTGCAGTTCATCAGGGTGATCCACAGCTTTTTCAGATTTTTTTTAAACTTGATAGAGCAGGATTTGTGCCTTGTTCAAAGGTTTCTCAGTACCATCACCATTATCTAATCATCTGTCTGTGGATATGGGAAGTGCATTCATCTTATGGAAACATCTGATATTTTCTGCTAGAGTTTGATGGCCAGATCCAACATGCTCTCTTTTTGATTCTGCTGGATTAATCAACTCTATAGTTGTTTCTTCCTGACAAAGTGCACGCTTGCCTCAGTCAGTAGAGGAATGGGATGTCTCCGTTGACGGACCTGGCTCTCAAACAAGCTTATATCTTTTTGACAGGTTTGAAGCACCAGTAACAGTCAATAGTAATCTGTATCTTTCACTACTGTGTATAGTTAATATTACCCAAACACAAAGCAGCTTTCACACAACCAAAGTAGTATCTGAAAGAAAAGAGAGAAATGTGATTAAATTCTTCCAAGACCACACTGACGATCAAAATTAGTACAAAATGTGTCCTTACACCAATTTTAAGGTCTTGTTGAAGCAAAACCAAGAATACACCCCTTGTATGTCCAATTGTAAAACATTATTTGCTGATTATGACAATGTTTGTAAAATGGCTGCCACAGCCAACTTGCATGAGCTGGCAATAGCCCCATATCTGAAATTCGTTATTAGGTCATGTCCTAACACTGTGGCAAATTTCATGCTTTTATCATAAAACCCACAATTCCCTCTCCCTTCCCCCTTACAAATCTAACCGGCTAATAAGTAAAGGTTTATACTTTTGCACAGCACAACTGACTTTGTAAGACTCCGTATTTACACAAATAAACCAATGGATGTTGAAATGACTCAATTAAAATGGCAGCATTTGTGTGTAATTCATGAATTAAAGAGTCAGATTCCTCTCTCACACACACTTTGATCTCAGTCGGGAGTAACTCCATTGAAGTCAATAGAGTTATACATTCTGTAGTAGATTCTAAAACTGAAACTGGGTATTTCTTTCTATATAGCTTTCGTACGTAAGAATTTCTGATACCAGTTAAAGATTCTTTATACACGTAGTGTCACATTTTCTAAAGCTCTGTGTGCTGGCCTGACTGCTCCCACTGAAGTCAGACCATAGGCTGTGATGGAACAGAGTTAGGCCAATGCTGAGCACTGCGGAAAATCCTTAATTTTAAAACAGATCATTTTAATAACCGTTTACAGTTAGGTTAACTGTTCTTTGAAATCTATTAAAATGGACTTAAGGAATATTTTTCATACACATAGATTGCATTGACCGATCCATTTTTGTATTAATTGAAAAACTTTCAATCTCAAGCAATTAAACTGAATTTTATTTTTATCACCATAGTTCAACATCATAATAAACGGAAGTGCTAATGTTTAAATGCTTCACTATGCTAGTTGTGGTGTTCTGATTTTAACTAAAGATAGTAAAACTTACTGTAACCTGTTGATTGTTTTGACAGCTATGAGTCAAATTACTATGAAGACATTTTCAGCCATGCTGACCCTGCTGTTGCAGATCATCCCAAATTCACTTTGTGATGAAAAACCTGTGACACACTTCATGGACTGTCTTACTGGATATTTCATCATCAGCAAAATCAAAATCTAAACATTTTTTAAAATGACCAGAGAAGAGACATCTTATTTTTTCTTTGTCATTTTAAAGGCAGTTTTGTTGCAGAGTTCTTAATCTGCACTTCCAAAATATGAACCAAATTCTTCTCTCAAATAAGCCTGCAGGTCCACTGATTCCAGGGAGTGGCATTGAAGGCCTGCAAGGGTAGAACTTGGCTTTGTACATGTGTGTGGCAAATTAGAATGTTATTTTCTGTCTTAACCTGAATCTTGTATATAGCAGGTGATGATGTTGTAGATGTTACTATATTTTGTGCAATCCTGTAAATGTAGAAATCCTTAATAAATGAACTAATATCTGTACAAAAGGAAAAATATACAAACTGCTTGGAACTTTTGTAAATATTATTTTATTGCTGCCCATTACAGCAGATCCATTTTTATCTACTTATTAGTGTCTTCTCCAGCATACCACAAAGGCAACATGAGTTCCTGCAATCATAGTAAACATGGACTTCTGTTAGAATATGGTATTTTCTAGAGATTAAAAATAGAAATAATTATTTGTAACCATTTTCAAATATCAAATATGAAAACATATTATTGTTCATGGATTGTTGAAAACAGTTTGACTTTTGTTACTTCAAACACTGCCCTTGTTTAATACTTTTTTTTAAAAAAATAAACAAAACAATTTCTACCGTTACATTTATTTTTATTGTATGTGATGTTCTTTTTTTTTTTTTTTCAACCAAGTATTTGAGTGTGCTGTAAAATCATGAAACTTTGAGCAGTATCTATCAGGTTTTTAATCTTCTGTTTTATGATAAAATTGTGATTCTCATGGGTTTCCAAGAGGCATTATAACTATAGGGCATTCATAGGACTGACTCTCACCCTTTGTGAGGCAGGGGTGTGATGAATAAATAAATTAGCGACAGAGGGGAAATAGGGAAGAAATTAGTCGACTGACCATTTTCAGTAGTGGTATCTGGAAGGCACTCGCCTTCTCCTCTTGGCATAAGACCCTAGATAAATAATAAAAGATAAATAGACAAAGATACAACAATCCCCAATTTAGGGCTACATTGTAACAATGTAACCTGTCCTGAGCAAAGGCAGCGTCTAGCTGTGCTGTTCCTTGGAAAGTCACAGTTCAGTCCCTGCTTCTCCCTTTGCACTGGGGGGGGGGGGGGGGGGCGAATAATCTGTGCCAGCTCTTTACTTCTCCCTCCCTGTCAGTTCAGCTATGCTGGCTGGCGCATTGGGCGATAAAGTCAAGGTCTATATTCATCCTTCACCCCTGCCTGCACAGGAAGGGGAGTAGCACCCTTATGGTGCTTACCTATGCTGTGACCTGCAATGTGGGTAACTAGTACAGGACACTAAAGTTTCATTCCCCTCACTCTCCTTTGTAGGCAACTGCCAAGCTTACCCTTAATTAAGGTGTGTGTATGGGGGGAGGGTGTTTCTATTGTCACATCACTATTTTTGTGTCACAGGACAAAATAAGCAGCACCCTCCAGTAGGGCTTGTTGTTATAGAGAGCACTGAACTGATCCAGAAAAACCTAGGAGCTCCAAATGACTCCTCTATATCTAATGTTATCAGCCATACACACTTTGATAATTTGATGGGGCTGTTCTGCATTCTGAACCCAGGCCTGCAGGATATGAAAAATTCCCCAAGATACCAGGATGTTGCATCATGACATTTGTTATGGAACAATAAGATATCAAGCATTGGGATAAAATGAATTGGTCTTGGAGGACTAACTTTAATAGATGGGAATTTTATGAACTTGTATGTGATGGGTTGTCACCCCCGGGGTGCAGTCTGGGAGCTATGGGAACCGCTTTGCCCCCTTACCATTCAGCTGGGCTGGTCCCGCTCACACTGCTCTGCTGATGACTCAGCCAGCCTCTCCAGGCCCTGTTATCACCCAACACAACAGCAGGTGGCACCACACATCCAACTGAGCTACCTGAGTGCTTTAGCTAAGCCACTCAAGGACAGACCAAAGACAATAGCCAGTTTCCCAGCTCCCCAGCCTTGCACCCTTGCTGGAGTATAAACCCAGTATTATATGATTTTGCACTGCATAGGGAGCTGTACAATGCAAGCTCATTAATATAGGTCGCTTTCCCCTCGATGTGGGGAAATTATGCACAACAAACCTGTGTTAGCCAAGATGAGATTTTCCCAGACACTTCACTTAAAGACACATTGGTTAAGATAAAACATAAAACAAGTTTATTCACTACAAAAGGTAGATTTTAAGTGATTATAAGTGATAGCAAAGAGACGAAAGCAGATTACCTAGCAAATAAACAAAAAAACATAAACTAGGCCTAATATAGTAGATAGGATTTGAACTAGCAATTTCTCACCCTGACTGATGATACAAGCAGTCCATCAAGTTTCCATAAAGAGGCTAGAAATCCCTTTAGCCTGGGACCAGCACTTCCCCCAGTTTAGTCTTTGTTCCTTAGGCGTGGGGGGAGTGAGGTTAAGAGATGATGTCATTCCTCACCTTATAGAGCTTTTCCATATGGTGGGAACCCTTTGTTCAAAGATAAGTTCCCAGTCCAGTTTGTGGAAAAATATAGGTACCAAAATGGAGCTCAGTGTCATGTGGTCTGGTCACATGTTCTTGTATGCCTTGCTGAGTCATAGCAGCCTTTATGCGTAGTCTGGCTGAAACTGTCACAGGGAGGCTAAGCTCTTCCATGGTCCATTGTCTTTGTTGATGAGCCATTAGCACTGTCTAGCTTCTTCAGTGTTGTATCTGAAAGGCTAGTTGTGGGTGTTACCCACAGTAAGCATATTTGAAAATACAGATACATAGTCAATATTCGTAACCTCTGATAACAAAAATGATACATGTACACAAATAGGATAATCATATTTGGCAAATCATAACTTTTCCAATGACCCCTCACATGACCCATCTTGTACAAAATGCATCATAATTATTCTATAATCATATCACTATGATGAATATGGGGTGCAGTGTCACACTGTACATCTGATACTTTATAAACGTTCAGTTAAGAAACCAAATGTAATTTACAGGACATTTCCCTCCATCTTATTGTCCTAACCTTGTGGATTAAATATCTAACCCAATCTTCCTTATTCCGTAAAGTGATGGGGTGTTCACTCCTTGCTAGCTTAGAAGGGGTTAATGAGGCTGAGCAGGGGCCAGTTAACTGGCTAGGCCACCTCAGAGCGGAATTAGGTGGCTAAGTAGCCCCAGATTGATGATGGCACCCAGCTGAGAAAGAACAGACAGGGCTACAATACACCAGGAAGCTGGCAGCAGAAAGGGACTGCAGTGAAGAACCCGGTGGCCACTCTCTGACTGTTAGCAAGGGAAGGAAACCCGGGGAAGAGTTAGAAAGCCTTGAAGGGCTCCAGGCCATGAAGGAAGGGTTTACCCAGAATGGTGGTGGAGCGAAAGCCTGACAGAGGTATAGAGTAGAAAAAGGTTCAGGAAAATGGTAGCAAGGTGGGACGTTGTGGACCTTGGCTGCTGATTAGAGGTTCCCTGTGCCAGAACCTGAAGTACAGGTTGGGCCCGGTTTCCCCTGGTAGCCACTGGAGAAGTGACACAGTCTGGGCAGTGAATTGGAAGACTGCTGGAGACAGTTTGGATGGAGACACTTTGATAACACCCCTGGAAGGGGAAAATATAGTGACCTGGCTGGAGGGCCAAGCCATGAAGGGAGAGCACGCTGAGTTGCAGAGTAAGAGCGAGGCAGCAGGATGCACAAATGAGCGATGGAAGGGGGCATCGGACCTGGAAAGAGCTACACCCCGGAGCTGCCAGGAGGAGGCACCTTAGCAGTGAGTTGGCCCTGCAACATCTAGATTCTCCCTTGCTCCTTACTTTTGAAGGGACACATGCTATTTCACTTTACCCTATCATCACTTCTATCAGCCCATGTACTAAGATATATGGGTCAAACCCTAAGGTTCTTGTTTGGTTTGTACTTAGTCCTTACTCAAGCAAAACACCCATTCACTTCAAGTGATAGTTTGAGTAAAGACTTTAGGATCTGGCCCATGAGCAAAGCACATGTCCTATTAATTGCTGACTGTTCTCAAGTCACTTCCTTGTTGTCTAAATCAGGATTCAAAATGTCTCACCTAATGCGCTATCTGGTTGCCATCACAACGTTTCATGAATTTGTGGCTGTCCTTGAGATCTCTGCAATCTAGGTGAATAAACTTTGAGTCTGAGTGGATTTCCCCAGCTTTCTTTTCCTGTAAAGAAGACTTTTTAGTAGCTATCACCCTTTGCCAGATGAGGGAGCTAGCTCCGAGTCTTCACAGGTTATCCACAAGATTCTAATCTCTAAAGATAAAATGCTTTGCCCTCACACTGGATTTTTGCCGACGATTTTTTCAGAATGCTGGCTTCATCAAGGAGAGGTTGTCTTCTACAAACCAGATGTTGAGCTTAGTTTTAATACTGAGAAATCGTATTTTTAAAATGTCTGTATATTTTCATCATCTACAAGAAAAAGTCAATGAGGATCTGCTATCTAGCCAATAACTATTGAAAAAGATTGTGCAATAGATCATCCCTTGTTATTTATTTAGTATTTGTACTACCCTAACCTTAGTCATGGTCCAGGACCCCATTGTGCTAGGCACTGTACAAACAGAACAAAAAAGATGGTCCTTGCCCCACAGAGCTTACAATCTAAATATAAGACAAGAGACAACAGATGAATCCAGAGGGATAAGAGAGTACAAGGAAACAATGAGACAGTGTTGGTCAGCATGATAGGTAGTGATCTCTGCAGCCTCACCATTGCCAAGTTTTTTGTGGGCAACACAGCAAGGAAGGATTTGGGGAAGGCTTCAGAGGAGGAGGGTGAGGTAGTTTTGTGGATGTTTATGGGAAGTGACGTGCAGCATGGGAGAGAGCATGAAGGTGTGTGTTTGAAAATTTAACAAGTGGGCAGAGAAGGCTGGCATCATGGGCCAATCAGAGGTGAGTATCAACAGCTCGATAGCGAATGAGAATGCCTTGAAAGTGAAGGCAATCAGCGTATTTGACAGTACAGATATGACAGTGCAGAGGGAGCCAGTGGAGGGATTCAAAGAGAGGGTGACATGGTCAAAGCAACAGGATAGGAAAATGATCTTTGCAGCAGCATTCTGAATGGAGATAAGCAGGGAAAGATTGCATTTGTCAAAGTCAGAGAGAGAGAGATTGCACCTCTTAATTGTGCCTTTTCAAGAGAGTCTCAAAGCCCTTTCCACTATAGCCAGGGCTGCTGCTAAAGCCTGTTGGATTCATATCCACTTATCTAAAATATGTAAGACAGCTACTATATTCAAGTAGATGAGAGGAGAGGTCGGATGCTCACCTCAGTGCAGCAGCATGCCAGTGTACTTTAAACTGTAGTATTCTCTAGACCAGTGATACTCAATTAGATCTACCCGCGGGCCGATTTGAGAATTTTATCACAAGAGGTGGGCTATTGGCTCAGAAGGCTGACCAAAAAACCCCCCCAAAAAAAACAGAAAACAAAAAAAATTCAGCTGCCAATAAATAAAGACCTTGATTGCACCATAAGTATTAGTGTTTCTACCTTTTATCAAAGTTTATAAATCAACATTACCACCTTGTTGGTGGCAATCTCTAATGGGAGGGGCGACATCAATGATCTCTAGCAAGCTTTGTGAAGA